TAAACGAGAGTGAGGAGAGTTATAGATGAGAGATGAGAGAGTGAGAGAGTGAGAGAGAGAGAGAGAGTGTGTACATATCAGCAGAGTGCTAGCCACACCCTGTTTCTGGGACCAATGTTGCGGTCTCTGCGAACTCCCTCTCTCTCTCTCTCTCTTCCCCTCTTGCGGTCTCTGAGGGCATGGCCACAAGCTTTCATTCGTACCGTATAAATGCGTCCGGTCCCCAGTGGCATGCACACCTACTTCTCCACTCTCCCAGCACTCGGAGGCTCGACAAACCGCAGAGATGAACGCCAAGCTTGTGGTAAGCGACTGTGGCTGCTGTGTATGTTTGCTGTAGCGGGCAACGCTGCGGAGTTTCGGCAGGATGCTTTCGATCAGCTGTTTTACCGTTGTTGACCTAACGAGCAGTCAACATGCAAAGCGCCGAGTGCTTTACGATGTCCCCGTCATTAATCCAATATGTGTGTCATTGTCTTTGTAGAACCCACTGTTATTCCGTATTTCCATCTTTTTTCAGCTGCTGCTCCTGGCTGCCCTGGTGGCTGTCGTCTCTGCGAGACACGGATACAACGGATATGGTGGACATGGTGGGAACTACGGTGGACACGTTGCGTACGGCGGCTACGGTCGCGGAAGCGCCGCAGGCTATGGGTACCATGGCCAGCGCTACCGCCGTTCTCTGAGCTACGGCAGCTACGGCCATGGCCACGGCTCCAGCGACTACGGACCGGCTCCCTACAGCTCCGGATACGCCGGCCACGGACACAGCAGCTATGACCAGCGCTACCGCCGTTCTCTGGGCTACAGCAGCTACGGCCATGGCCACGGCTCCAGCGGTTACGGACCGGCTCCCTACAACTCCGGATACGCCGGCCACGGACACGGCAGCTACGGCCAGCGCTACCGCCGTTCTCTGGGTTACCCTGGCAACGCCGCCAGTGGTTACAGATATTCTCCCCGTAGCTACGGATACGCCGGTCACGGACATGCCAGCGGCGGATACGGATATGCCTCGTACCATCATTAAGTGGTTTGTTGTACCTGAATGTGGCTCGTCTCAGCGATCCTCTTAAAATACATTTCTGCTGGACGCATGCACTTAGCTTTACAAGAGTGGATTTCGCCGTGAATTAGATCTTGAATTATGAAGTTATTGCTAGTTACATTTTATTTTTGTTAGATAATGGATCGTCGGAAAAGGAAACAGGCTGTTGTCATCTAAAAAGCTTCAGCAGAAACTCTTGAATATGGTATAGCTCCGAAGGGGCATACTTGTGCAGACACTGGGAAATCGCGTGCTGCATACGTTCTTATGTACATGCGTGTTCTTTAAGTTGTGTGTGTTTATTTGCGTCTGTAATGTCTTATTTGCATCATTTGGGATCGGTTCGTTTTGTTTTAAAAGACATATTGGGGTGGACTGCAAACATCTTGCATATTTTCGTATCTTGAAGAACTGAGCTTTTAATTACAACTTCTACCCAATGCATAGAACAAGGATTGGCTTGGAGAAGTGGGAGGCAGTGTACGCCTATGTGTTAAATGCCCGGCGGAGTAAATGACTGGACCAAAGACAATGCATGTCTTGTTAGTGTGTTAAATGCTGCTTTTAAGCGAGGGCGTTTCCACTGTCCCCACGTGCAATGACCACTGCGTGCTGCAAGTCTCTTGCAGCACCAATCGTTGCCTTACCAATATCGCCACAAATCAACAACTAGCTCTTCACATCATCGCGACTGGAGGCAAAAAAGAACACCTGACAGCCGTCTCACCTTCGGCCAGAGCGCCTGTAGGGAGAGTAGCTGGGGATGGTCGTGCCGGAGTAGAATCCGCTGCCCGCGACGCCCCGGTACGGGTTGTACCCGCGGCTGTACCCGCTGCCGCTGTACGGGCTGTAGCTCCCGCCGTAGTATCCGTTGCCGTAGCCGCTGCCGTAGCCGCTGCCGTAGCTGGAGCCGTGAGATCCGTAGCCACTGCCGTAGGATCCATAGCCGCTGCCGTAAGAGCCGTATCCCACTGCCGTAGCCAGTGCCATAGCCGCTGCCGTAGGATCCGTATCCACTGCCGTAGTAGCCGCCTCCGCTGTACGGACTGTAGCCCCCGTACGAGGCGCCGATCAGACCCGAGCCGTACGGTGCACGGTACGCACCATCTCGGCTGAGCGACAGGGCCGTGCCCAGGCAGAAGAGCAGTGCCTGTTGGACAGAGGTGCCGGACGGTCACGGCAGCAGCGGAGGGGCGCAGACGATGGGAACGAGCTGACCCGAAGATAGAACGTCTTAGGCTAGAGAAACATTTGGAGTGGATGGCTCGAAGCAAAAAGTCTGGGAGTCTGGCCTGCTGTAGCACATGAATCACATTACATCGGGGTATGACACTGGTATCAGCAAATGTTCAGCCGGTAGCTTGACAGATGACAGGGAAACATCAAATCGCTAGAAACAAAAGGACAGGAAGATATCAGCCTAAGCTATGGACAAACGGCCATCTAACTAGCTGTCCGTATGACAGCGTCGCGAGCACGCAGGTCGTTTTTATATATCGATTTGTCCAGGTCTGAATCAAACTTTTCATGAATACAGCACATCGAATGCCTCGTAGTGCATGACCTGCAAATTTGAGGCTCATAGAAGCCTGGCTTTTGCTGCTAGCCTATTACCGGCCATCCGTTCGACGCTGCAAGCATGCTATCACGGGCAACATTAGCACGCCCAATGAAAAGACGATGGTTCTTACTCCAGTTGTTGAGTTTCGTGTTCTATGGGCTGGATTTTGTCATTGCCAGTGACTATTGATATCACTTTGCTTTAACGTTCCAGCACACAGTTCCACGCACATGTCCCGTGAATCGATCCTGAAGCACCAGGGACGGGACGGCGATACGCAAACAGATATGTCGCAGAGCGGTTGCTACGAAAGCGGCCGTGATTGTTATGGATTCAAAGGTTTTGCATCGCGTGTGTTCACACATGTTGTATCGCATGTGTCAACGGTGCGGTCACTGGCTCGTCAAACCAGCCGCTCAACACAGTCTAGGTCTGCGCAGCGGAGCGCCCCAGACGCATTCACGGCCGCGTGGATGACACAGTGTCTGGGCGTTTTCTTACGACGGCGTCCGGCGTAAAACAGTCGAAAATCGAAAAATGTTCTGAAAACTCGGCGTTAGCAATTTTGCCACTGCATACACCTGCGGAACCGTAGTCCCGAGAGTTCGTAGAGGATTTCACAAGAAAGAGGACAACCAATCAAGATTGCTGTTCCTGTGGGATCGCTCGGAGCACTGTAAGAGACTCGAGACCAGTTCTTCGAGGACAGACGCCGGTGCCACCACTAACCGTCAGACGTTGCATCTCGCTGGGGTCCGGCCGAACAGTCACCCAAACTGCGTCACCCCAGACGCCGTCTGGCTTTATACCCGGCCGCTTCCGGTGACAAAAGCCAATCGCACTTCCTGCTGTGTGCCTATGGTGATGGCGGCTGCCCGGGCCTGGCGCTGTTTGCACTGCGTCGACCGCGGCTTCTCGGGTCAGGGCAGCTGCAGTAATCGGCAGGACTGACCTTCAGGTGTACGCAGGTCTGCACTGGAACCGCATTGAACCGGGGGGTCAACACCAAGCGCGTGTTAACATGTGTACGTCGGTTGCCCTCTGTTCAGGCTCAGGACTGGGTCAGACCAATCCCGGCAGGCTGGGTGTGTGTGAGGGAGGGGGGCGGGGGGGATGAGTGCAGGGTAGTATCCTCGCTATGTTCCTTTGAAACAACGTGTCGGTTGCACACTAAATGCCCAAGGATGGCAGAAGTTTTACAGAGCGAAACCGTTCTCAACTGTGGCAGCATTTGTTGCAAAAGTTGGTCCACATGAGCCTTGTGTGGACCAATGGAACGCAACGGTACCCTTCAAGCTGGCCGTTAGGGCCCGTATATTGGAACGGGCATTAGCTAACTGGGTCTTAACTCGGAGCCCCCATCTCTCCCGACGGACTTAGCATGGCGTTCGCTGAGGGACAGGTTGGAGCGTGGTCTACCACCGCAGTAACATAACCCGAGCCTCACAATAAGGCTGCTAGCATGCATAGTAAAATGATATAGCGTCCTCGTGTCATAGCTTGACAGAACTTGACTAGCATCCGTCCTAAGCAGCTTTTCTTTTAAAAGGTCGGAATAGGTCCGAGTGCATTATCGACATCGCCGTCGAGCATTTAAGGGAGGGGTCGTAGCCGTTTACATCCTCGTTGTGCGTCACTTTTCATCTTGGCCGTCTGCTAACAATCCGCTTTGTTCTTTTCAACTGCCGATATAATAAACCAAGGCTTTTTGTAATGTTTTCCTATGCATTTTTTTCCATGCCAGGTGGGCACAAAACTTGAAAAGAACCCAGTTTCAATTAATATTCTCAGAGCACGTCATGGAACACCTACCCCTCCCCCTCTCTTGCCGGCCCCGTAATTGGCCCGCCTACCTTATGATCCTTATATACCTTGGTACCTATGATACCTACATAAGGTACCTATGATACCTTATGATTTTCCAGAACCAATTGCGTCATCAGTGCTGACTTTACCTCAGCACACATGTTGAGCCACAGAAGTTCTCATTTGTATTCAATACCCAGTCATGGTTAACACCTGCCCCGGATGGTAGGACTTTACCACCACTCAGATTTGTCAGTGGAATTTCAGTGACGTGTTGTGTTCACAGCCAGCAAGGACATGCGCAGTCACAGGAAATGAAAACTAAACAAGGGCATGCCAGAACAGTCTGGAACAGAGAGTTGACGTAATGGTTCCTGCTTTGTGGCCCACACTCACGACCTGGAGACGGTTTACGTACATTGTAATGCCTAGGTGCAGGGGTGAGAAAAGTGTTATTTCTGTCACTGACGAATTTGGAACCATCTAAATTGTCACCTGGAACTGAGTCTTTCAGAAACCGTTGCAATGTAACTCTAAATGTAATAAACCACCAAATAAAGACAAGTTTAATGCGATGTGGCATAACCATCAAGTGTTTTTGTTTCGGGAGTTAATTTACACTCAAGTATCATTTTCTGCCCATCAAGCACTGAACATGGTTGAGATGTAATCAATGAAATTATTAGGTAAAGGCATGCTTGACATAACCAGCTTGGAGGCGTGTAGTTTCCTATTGAGATAGAGGGAAGGGTTGCACTTCCTAACCATGAATGTAGTTTGCTATTCTTGGTTATCATTTTCATGAATTGTTCTTCATTTATTGCAATTTTAGGGTTTAGCCCCAAAGCCATTTCGAGAAACTACACCCTTGCTTCCAACTGTGAAACCAAAGTGCGTCAAATCTATGGATAAAAGAGTTTTGAGTGCATTTTTTGAGGCAGCCTCAGTCATTTTTCTTGCCCCTCACCCTCCATCACTCAGCCTTACGTAGTTTGCAAAAATGCATTCCTGCACACCTATACCTACCGACAACATAGTTCTACAAGCACCTGACAATATCACCTTTGGTTTTATGACGTCATCATACAATCAGCTGAGCGCGCAGGCGACCTTCACGATCTACGCACAATCATAACCGGTGAAGAACTCGCACCTCCTACATGGTCACGATCATGTAGAGCAAAACCCGTGCGATATTGGTATCAACAGATGCAAACGACATTTATGTTCACCGCTTTCACCTTTATTCAGTTTTATATGCAATATGATGAAAATTAAAGGCGTTTTATCTTACACCTGTCCGCCGATCAGTGCGCTAAGCCAGAGGTGCAGCGGGCAATGTCAGAGGCCTAGAACATTGATGCTTAGTCCCTTGCCTCAAAGCCGCTGTTACTCTCAGCAGCAGAAAGTCCCGGATGAATCTTTGACTTGTGTTGCTCCAACATCCTCCGTATATCTTTTGAGCTACAGCTGAGGTATCCACGAACAACAATCCTCCTAGAATCGTCATGGCTTTTAACGCTATTATATCAGAATGCCGACGGTTAGCTACGTTTTTCTAGCCCGTCAGCTTCTCGCGACATAGACATAGCAACCTATAATAACAGCCCACAGCCTTGCGCTGAATCCAATGCCTCATTACGCGGCGAGCATTCGAGCCTACCTGTCTCAAATGCCACGACACTTTAAAACGCCGCGTAGCAAACTGATCACGTTCGTGGCAAGATCCTGCTGTCAGCTGCGTTCCTTACGACAAACAAAAAGCCTAGTTATTGGGTATGTTATGCTGTTTAGAATGTGCAGTGAATCGTGGCTGAAAAAAAATCTGTGAAAGTCACTGATCTGGGGGGCATTGGAAAAGCACTGTATCAGCTCTGACCTGGGGTGTCAATACTGATATAGTATAGTTTGTAGGGTATTTCTGGCATGTGCTGAAAACTATACTGACTAAAGCCATTTTTTGGCAATATTTTATGGCTCAGCTTGCTCATACGGCGGAACGTCAACCTTTCGACATGTGTTCTACACATCCACACGCCGCAAGTGTTAAAGATACAGACCAATACTAAGTTTTGAGTTTCGTTTGACTGGGATCGTATGTTGTGATATGGCCTGGTCTGTTGAAATTGATTTGCATTTTCGCAATTTTGTCACTATCTGGTTCGCAATAGCGTCAGTTTTTGTCTCCCATGATATCCGGTAAATCCGAAGATATTTCACCGCTGTTTAGACGCTATAATTAGACAGCCTAGGCATGACATGCACAAGCGACAGGCACAGGCATCGATGTATGAACGAGTTAATTTTTCAAATCAGAGACCATAGCAGAGACGAACATCTGTCAACAGATAACGAGGGTTAGCTTTGCTGGCGTTACATGGCCACGTAAATTATCTGTGCACTAAAATGTCCAGCACCAACGGAACAAAATAACTCGGTGGAGAGAAACTTAACACGCGCCCGGGTGGCCGGCTGAATGCCACTGTCTGGGGCGGGGCAGTGGATGGCAATTTGGCCCCCTGCGTTCTATAAAATTAAGAGAGTGTAGACTACCAAGTGTAGACATACCAAATTCACAGAGTGGGTTGATTTGTGTATGAACTCACTTGTGTTAGAAGTTGATGGTCATATGACATGAACTTCGGGCCAAATAAGCTTAAATGAGGTCAAAATAACTTTCGGTGCCCAAAGTGTCCTCAGGCCTCGTGCACCCGTCTTGAACCTAAATATCCGTTTTAAACAAAAGGCCACGAGTGTTCGATTAAGGTCAGTGACCTTGTCCGATCTTTAGAAGACCGTGGTAGCCAAAAACACATGAGATTGCTTCTTATTTGAATAAGCGTTAAATAATATGCCAGTCGGTACGCTCCGAAAATCAAAGAGTTTCTCTGGGTCATTTAAGGCCAGTGACCTACTCCTACCTTTAAGAAGCCAATGGAAGATGTCTATTGCGGTCCCTGTTACCAAACCACCATAAAAATGCATAAAACTATCCCATGAAGCAAGCTATCCAGTAAAAATCGTGATCACTCGTTGATACCAATCCACTGGTGCTTTCCGCTAGTCTCTATGTTCCTTAGTTTGGAAACCATAGGGGGTCGCATGAACCCCCGATCAGTTCGCACCATGAAAAACGGTGAATCAGGGCGAGGGTTAAGCATTATATCATCATGAGGTTCAATGGATATGTTCAGAAAAAATATGTGAGAACAGTGTAATGTTTTAATGATGCCCAAAAGACTCCAAAGACCCCAACTAACACTTGGGGTCACTGCACGACTACCAAGTGTAAACAAAGCAGCCACTGTTCATGCTTCGACTGCTGGATTTGGGCTGGATGCTAAGTGCAATGCATGGCCGCAATATTGCAAACGAGGACAAAATCACGATATTTAAAAAATCATTCTACCATGCAACAAGATTTCTCTGGAGTCGTGTCAAACGTGTCAAACTTTACCGTTTTTGGGTGTAGATCAAACACCCGCAACACAAGATAGCCAAGCGCTTGTGCAATATGGGACATACTAGGTATGCAACTGAACTAAACTTACCATCTCTCATTATGTAAGTTCTATTCCTTTGTAATTAGCTATTTTTTAGTGAATTTTTGTCCACGGGCCCTACTCACGGAGCCAAAATAAAAACGAACCCCACATGCTAACAAGCGTTGACAGAGCTTGAATACAGCCACCAAAGGCGCTGTCAACACTGGCTGTCGGCCGATGTCACCTTTATATTTCGACTTTGTGAGCAAGGTCCACGGCCGAAAGTCACTCAACATACATTTTACTAAACAACAAACCTTGTTTTCACGTCACCAATTGCCAACCGAAATCATTTGAAGCGTCGCCACCCAGTGTGAGCCCGTCAACCCTGACCGCCACCCAGTGTGCGCCCGTCAACCCTGACCGCCACCCAGTGTGCGCCCGTCAACCCCGACTGCCACCCAGTGTGGGCCCGTGAACCCTGACCGCC